GAAGTGAAGTAAAGGCATTCAGTTTTCAACCAAGAAAGGTGTTAGGAGAGTTCGGGTGATCTCTTGGACAAATCACCCACGCGATTGCCACAATAGGGTCTGTACGCAAGGGCAAGGGCAAGGGCAAGGGAAGATAGGAGTCTCTCCCGGTGGACCGACCCGTGACGAGATCCTACGCGCCGGCCCATAACATTCTGGTATCAGAGCCTACCGTCATGGGGGAACAAGAGCCGTTGTCTTCCAAGGTCCATGAAGTGGAACACAAACTTGCAGAGACCAGCATGGAGGTACGTGAGGTCAAGGATGATGTCCGGGAGCTTCGATGCTTGCTGGAGACATTCTTAGCCAATAGGGAAAGAAACTCAAAAGGAACCGCCACCAACAACAGCCGCAAATCGGATTGGGCAGAAACGCTTGGCGAACATCAGACGGCCACCCCGACTGCCACTGTTATCCCCAAATACAGTCGGCTAGAATTTCCATCCTACAACGGTGCTGGAAACCCACTGGGATGGTTGCACCGCTGCGAACAGTTCTTCCGCAACCAGCGCACCGATGACAGAGACAAGGTCAGTCTGGCTGCTTTCCACCTCACAGAAGAAGCACAGCTCTGGTTCTACCGTCTAGAGCAGGAAGAACCCAGGCTTAGTTGGGAACAATTTAAATCCTATTGCCTCCTCCGGTTTGGACCCCCGCTGACAAGCAACCCGCTGGGCGAACTGATCAACCTCAAGCAGACCGGGACTGTGGCGGATTATCAGTGCCAGTTCCAAACTCTTCTCGCCAGAGCAGCCTCGGTACGCCCAAACCAACAAGTCGACATGTTCACAGCAGGACTTGTGGAACCCCTAAGGGTGGACGTCGAGATGTAGCACCCCCCTAATCTAGTCACAGCTATGAACCTCGCACGTGCCTTCGAAAGGAAGATGCAGATCTCCCACGGGGGCTTCAGTATAGGACGGCCGACATCAACATGGATGCTTTCGAAGACAGTAGGAGTGACTCCCTCTTCGATCACCAACAGAGAACCAAGGTTGCCTGCGGGCAACCCCTCCAGATCAGCGTCAAGCATAGGAAGCAGCAGGTCTGCACCCCCCATTAGGCGGCTGACCCAAGCCAAGATGGTGGAACGGCGCGCAAGGGGGCAGTGCTTCAACTGCGATGACCTGTACTCCACCGGCCACAAGTGTAAGAAGTTGTTCTGTCTTCTAGTAGAAGAACCCGAAGAGGAAGAGGATGGACCTGCAACATCAGAACCAGAAATCTCCCTCCATGCCATTACGGGGGTCAAGACCTCCCAAACCATGCAACTGAGAGCATTGATAGCAGAGCAGCCAGTCCATATTCTGGTAGACTCGGGTAGCACCCACAATTTCATCAGCGAACAAGCGGCCCGCAAGTTAGAACTGCCCATGGAAAGGAGACCACAATTACAGGTGCCCGTGGCAAACGGGGAAAGAGTTCACAGCCCCGGAATTTGCAAAGACACCAGAATTCAGGTCGAAACAGAGTCCTTCCAAGCAGGTTTATTCGTACTATCCCTGGACGAATTTGACATCGTCCTAGGTGTTAAATGGCTGATCACGCTTGGACCAATTCTGTGGGACTTCGCCGCCCTGACCATGACCTTCCACTTGGATGGCAAACCAGTCACATGGCGGGGAACCAAAATAAGAACAAGGACGCAGCTACATACACTCCAAGGTGGGGACTCACGCGCAACAGATATGGAAAGGCTCCTTACTGACTTCTCTGCAGTATTCAAGGAGCCCAAGGGGCTTCCCCCTCCCAGAGCTTGTGACCACCGAATCCCTCTGATAACCGGATCAGATCCCGTTGTTGTCAGGCCCTACCGCTACCCACATCGACAGAAAGATGAAATAGAAAGGCAGTGCGCAGACATGTTACAGCAAGGGATCATCCGCCCCAGCCGCTCCCCCTTCTCCTCCCCAGTTCTCTTGGTG